ACTCAAGTATCCATCAACAGATGAATGTATGAACAAAATGTGGTACAGCCACACAATGGAACATTATTTAGCATAAAAATGAAAGATTTTTTTGTTCATGCTACAACAGGATAAACTTCAAAAACATTAAACTAAGTGAAGTAAGCTTTTTTTGAATGGTCATATATGATTCCAATTTTGTGAAATATCTAGAATAGACAAATTCATTTTTTTAAAGTAGAATAGAGTTTGTCAGGAGCTGGGGAGGTGGGGCATTGGGAGTTATTGTTTAATGGGGATGGGGTGTCCCTTTGAGATGATGGAAATATTTTGACAAGAGGTGGTGGTTTTTTTATATTGTGAATGTACTAAATGCCATTGAATTGCACACTTTAAAATGGTTTAATTTTTTTTAATTTATCTCAGTAAACACAACTCCACCCACTGCCCCCCACACAAAGACGAGCTTTTTTTATCTTGTTTGCCAGAAAGCAAGTCAGTGATCAAAGAGTGATGAGGACACTTCATTTTTTTCCAGAACCAGCTTGAATTGGTCAAATCAGGGACAATCTGTATTTTATTAACTCAGCAACAAAAAGAAACGAGCTACTGATGTCCACAATAATACAGATTGGTCCCAAATGCATTTTTTTTAATGAACAAAATGAGCCACTACAGACTACATACCATGTGATTCTACTTGCAAATTTTTTTTGACAGAAACACACCAGTGGTTGGCAGGGGTCAGGACTGAAGGGGAGTGGATTTTTTTTTAATAGGCACTATAGAACGTTTGTGGAATTATAGAATTATTCTATATAACCATTTTTTTTTCTACCTCAATAAAGCGGATAGAAAATAGAACTAGCTGCCCATGTTTGAAAGAGACTTCACATTTCTCCACTATTCAGGGAACCCAGCTGCCATGGTCCGCACGACCTAGGTAGTTTTTTTGGGCCAGGTGAGTGGAGACTGACCCTTGACAAGGCCTATATGCTCTCTGGACGCCTGGGCTGCTTCACTCATTTGTGTGAGCACTGGACCCCGAGGGTGTACGAGCCAAAAGATTTTTTTCCTGACTCCTAAACGGCTTACAGGACAGAGAAGGGGTGAAGTGATACTGGGGTTTTTTTTTGTGTCCTGGGAGCCTGAGCTGGGGGCGGCCTGCGAGCATCTGTAGGAATAGTATCCTCTTCTCTCTCTGGAAGCCTCTGTGGCCACTGCAGGAATCCCAGCCCCTCCCAGCCACAGGATGGGCTCTGCTCTCCCTGGTGCCATAGTGTGCTGGCACAGTGTATTGGCAAAAGGAAACAGCAGAGGCAGATGCACGGGCTCCAGGCGTGGCAGGAAGACTGGCTGACCCTGCTGTGGGACTGCAGCCCTTGAGATTTTGAATATCAGAGGGAGGGGGTTGCCCAGCCTCTCTGTTTTTTTATGCGTGTGGTCCAGTGATGAACCGAGTGGGTGAGGGCTGAAACCACCTCTCCTTTTTTTTTTTCTGGAGCGTCATTCCTGGCACAGGCACAAAGAGGTTGAGGATGCTTATGACTCCAGTGTAGATTGTGTCCTTCATAAAACCCTGTCTGTCCGGTTCAATGTTTCTTATTTTTTTTTCTTTTTTTTTCTCACATTACAATTGTGACCCAGGATTTTGCCTGGGTAATGGGTTTTTTTTTGGGGACAGCAACAGGTCATTCCTCCATCCCATCCTCTCACCACATACAAGGTTTTTTTGGAGGAGGGGTCAGGGACGTCAGATTGTTGGGCTTTGAATTCTGCCTTAAGTCTAACCTGGGGCCTGTGAGTCCACTAAAGAGAAAACTCAAATTGCATATTTTTAAATACAGTTTTTTTATTCAAGTTTGGGAGTAGACAGCTGTTGTACAGTGGGGGACTTAGTGAGGACCTTTTTTTTGGCAGGCGGGACCAACGAGGGAGCACCTCCCAGACTAGAGCGTGATTCGTGGTTTTTTTAGCAGGGACATTTGATATTGTTGACAGCTTTTGTGTGTGAAGTCCTTCTGTGATTTTTTTGGTACCAGCCCTGTGCCAGAGCCTGCAGTGGGAGCTGTGTCCCCTGGAGGCAGAGGGTGGTCCTGAGTCCTGGCCTCATCTCCATGGAGGGAATGAGAGCAGGGCACCAGCTCTTTTTTTAGGCAGCTGTCTAAGAAGATGTGAGTCCAATCCCTTTCCCCAAACACCAGAGGTTTTTTTCTTGACAGGGCTGGCAGAGGCCCAGGCTTGTTCCTCCAGGGCAGCAGCTCTCCAGTGCGGGCGGCCGGGCTGCCTTTGCACTTGGCTGGGCCAACCTTAGTATGCTGGTGGTGATCCAAGGGGTTATAAGAAAACAGAGCCCCAGGTGCCCACAGGTGCATTCAAGGTGCTGCTTTTTTTAATTCAGACTGCTTGACTGTGAGGCTAGTCTGTTTTCCAAATGCCTGGAGTTGTTTTTTTCCTTTAAATTGGCACACAGAGATGGCGTGTTGGTCAGCACTCACCTGCTGCAATTTTTTTACCTCCAATGCAGTGGCCCGAAACACAGAAGCTGGCACCTCCCTCTTCTAACCTTTTTTTGATGAGCGGTCCACGTTGGTGGGACTGTGCCCAGTGGGGTCACTCAGTAGCCCTGATCCTTCCTTGTGGTTCACCTCTCCCTGAGGTGCATGGCCGTAGCCGGCTCCTTTCACTTTTTTTCTCCCGCCTGTGGGCTGAAAGAGGAGAGGAACTGGAGGGCAGAAAACTTCACATTTTTTTACTTGAAGTGGAAGCTGCAATATCACATTCTAAACCTAGTCACATGGTTGGCATTTTTTTCAGCTGCAAAGGGACATAGGATGTGTGGTCTCTAGTTGGCACTGTATGCCCAGTTTTTTTTTTCCTCCTAAAAGGAAGAAGTGGGGACTGGCTTCAGCAGGAAATGGCAGGAATTTTTTTTAAAGTGATGAGGGGCCTGTTCTCTAAGCAGATTGGTCTTCAGTTTCCCAACATTTTTTTGGCTCGAGGGTCCTCGCCAATGCTGGTGCTATCTGTCCAGCAGAGCAGAGTGTTTTTTTTCACAGAGCAGAAGCTGGTTCCGGACAGGCCCTTACTGCCCCGGGTCCTGCAGCCAGGCTAGTTGGGGGACCACGCCCTGAAGCACACAAGCTGGGTGCTCCCGCCTCTCTGCACCCTCTGGCACGGTGGGCATGGGCCCTGAGCCCTGCTCTGCTCCTGCAGCTTGTGCCCTGCCTAGTCCCATCACGTTTGGATACCAGGCCCGGGCACCTCCCTTCTCGGTGCCCAAACCCACCGCCACCCCGTGACCACCTAGGAGGCAACCATGGTTGTGCCCTGCCAGGCCCTTCCTCTTTTTTTTGAGAAAATAGCTCCACCCCGGGCGAGGGGAGCTGGAAGGTTTACCTCACCGCCCAACAGGCTGGGGTGTGAGCCAGGCAGGAATTTGGACAGTCTTGACACAGGAAGCAGAGCAGCCCATCCTGGCCTGCAGAGGGCGCCCGGGGTGGTCAGAGAGCAGGAGAGCAGCCTGCAGCGCTGGGCTATGGTTTGGCTCTCATAGACCTGTGTGTGGCCTACATGGGCTCTCGGACTTTTTTTGACAAGGACTGGAAGGACATGTGGCTGAGGTGGAGGACAAGGGTCAGAAGGGAGGGCAAGGGAGGAATAGAAGCCAGACACACACACTCACTGCCTCCCCTCACGCAGCACAGTTTTTTTTGGAAGGGGCTGGGGCTGGCAGCGGCGGTCGGGGAAACCATCCACAACCAAGGCCTGGGTCTTGAAAGCAGTCTGGAGAAATGGCGGCAGACTCATTTCACGGGCTCAGAGGCCAGGGAGGCTCCTTGGCAGCTCATTGGCCCTGTCAACTGGGGCCACTAGAAGGACGAACTTTTTTTTGGGCCCTGCTTAGTGGCTGACAGTACACAGGGCCCTGGAACTGCCTCACCCTTTTTTTTTTTCAATGTTCATAAGTCTCCCCTATGCGCCACTCTGCTGGTCTGTCACTGTGTTTTTTTTCATTATTTCATGGGATTTAAAGAGTCAAACAGTTCAAATATAAGGAGCTCGTGTTTTTTTGCTGCAGGGCTCCTGGAGGCGGCTGCTCAGGCAAGAGGGTTGGTAACAGGGCCTTTTTTTCTTTCCTAACTGGACAACAGCAGCCAGTGCCACTCTGCGGCTCTCACTGAATCTTTTTTTATGAGCAGAGCAGCAGTGCCCAGAGCCACAAAGCCTTCCTGAAATAAACCTCCACGAGCAGGGGGCTCTTCCCCTGTGGTCCCATTGTCAGGTCTGGCAGGAGGCGACAGGCGTTTTTTTCCCGAGGGTGCACTCACCAGGAGGGTTGCAGGAGATGTTAGCACCCCATGTCAGTGGGGAGGAGCTGCCTGAGGGCTATGGCCTGGGTGGAGGTCACAGCCTCTGCCCACCTGTTTTTTTTATGGGGCTCCCACCCCATTTGGTCTCCCGCTGGTGCCTCCCATGGGTTAGACCTGAGTGGAGGTCAAGGCTGGAGTCCTGCTGACAAGTCCTGGAGGTCGTCTCCAGGGACATTTTTTTGGTGGAGGAGGGTTGGCGGTGGGGGCGGTGGGGGGTGTCTGCAGGAGCAAACATTTTTTTCAGCACACTGCTTTGCTTCAGGAACGACTTTTCTGACTCAAACTCAGCAGAGTAAGTGGCATGCTGTCCCCTGCCCCACCACACACTGCTCCTCACCAAAACCAAAACCATGGTTTTTTTCTGCTCACCAAAACAAAGGCCATACCCTCTGTGCCTACTGTCTCAGGCCACGCCGGCCAACACCCCCCTGCTAGCTGGCCAATGGCGACTCCCTCACAGGGGAGCGTTATTCTTTTTTTTGGATGTATGAGTCTATCAAACTCAGCACTCGCATTTCATTATTTGTATTTGGTTTTTTTTTTTATACACGTAATATGTGCACGTGGTCTAAAGATACAAGAAGCCCTAAAAGGCTCACATGAAATACCTCTGCTCTCTGAACCACCTTCCCCTTTCCCCAGGTCCCTTTCCCATTTTTTTTGGTGTTTGTCTGGTTTGGTGTTTCTCATTGCTAAGTCATTGGGTGTAGCTGCCCTGGCTTCTTCCATGAGAGACCATCCGCTGATATCTGTTGTGGGAGATGAGGACTTAGTTGTTACAAACTGGCCTCTGTGCCCTGTCTCATCCCCTAAAGCAATTGCAGGAGAACTTCTTTTTTTTTCAGCGCTCATCACTTACATTTCATGTCTGGGCAAACATCATCCTTTCTCATGTTTTTTTCTGCCTTACCCTCCACTTCCCCAGGGCCAGGATAGGTTTCTTGGCCTTTCCCCTCTGGCTGCCCAGGCTCTCCAGAAAGATCTTTTGCCTTCTCCTGGCTGGAGGGTACAGACCTGGCTTGCAGTGCCCTGGAGATCTTCAGTAGTCTCTTAATCTCTTCCAGGGGACTGGGATTTTTTTTCCAAAAACCTTGTCTCCATGTTCCAGAGAGGACGCCTCTGCAGTGGTGCGGGTTTTTTTGCAAGCAAGCCCCATGCTCAATCGTGCCCTCACAGGCTCCGGTGGTGTCTGCTGCTCAGCTTTCAGCTCCGGATGCCCAAGCCTCCTCTCACTCAGGTCCCTCATCCAGCTCTGGCTTCCAGAGTTCAGCTGCTGCAGTCTCCTGTCCTCCTATCATTCCGGGTCTATGCTTTTTTTTTTCATCCCGCTGCAATCTGAGAGAACCTTCAGTAGACAGTATTATTACATTTGTTTTTTTTTCACCTTCTTAACCCAGAGGTTGACTTTATCTTATATATCTTTTCTTCTGTGCCTTTTTTTTTATAATTTCTTTCTGTTTCAGGCAGTGAGACTGTTTCCTTTTACAGCAGTTGTAAACCAAAAAGTATCTGAGACAGGTCCCAATCAATTTAGAAGTTTACTTTGCCAAGGTTTTTTTTTCATCCCCGGAGATAGGTCTGTGCTTTTCTCCAGAGATGATTTTAATGGCTTCAATATTTAAAGGGGAAAAGCCTGCTGGAGAGGACAGAGGGAGGGGATGGTCTCATTACTGATTTTTTTTGTGGCAAGAGAAAAGGAGCAGGTAAGGGAATGGTCAATTATGTGTTCATCTTTTTTTTTCTATAAGATAAGGTGAACATGGAGTGAAGATCTTTAACCTTTTATCTGTCACTTTTTTTTCAGGAACAAAAGGAAAGACTGCTTCTTGCACAACGCGGCTTTCAGCTTAATTTTTTTTTTTCGGCAGAGTAAACTGGGGTCCCAGTTTTTATTTTCCTTTGTAAACCAAAAATTTTTTTTTAAGGCTCCCCAACCATTTGAATGAACCCTTCCTCTCCACCAGGGCATTCCAAAGTTAAGCAGAAAAACTGGTTTAGGCCATGATGGGAAGGGAGCGTTGAACATGCTTCATCATACCATCTTCCTGTTAGCAGCGGTGGCGAATCAATACAGGTCTGCAGCAACCTCAGTTCTTGCAAGATCCTCAGAGGAAAGAATTCAGCCGAGGGGCATAAGGCAAAGGGAGAGACGGAGGCCAGTTTGGAGCAGGAGTGAAAGTTCATTAAAAGGTTTATATACTTTTTATAAAGGTTTAGAGCGGGAATGACAGGAAGTAAAGTACACTTGGAAGAGGGCAAGAGGGCATCCTGAGCTTTTTTTTGCACGGTTTGGCCACTGACTGGGGCTTATATGTTGGCAGGCTCCCGGAGGGTTGCATCCCTTCTGCCCTGATTCTTCCCTTGGAACGGGCTGCCTGCCTGCGCCGTGGCCTGTTTTTTTTTGGGAGGGGCCACAGGTGTGGTGTGTTTACTGAAACCGTGCGCATGCTCGCTTGAGGTGTTCTTCCCTCACCAGTCAAGCGTTTTAAACTCCACCGTGTTGCCTCTTAGCGCTTTTTTTTGAACCCACTCGCCCAACTCCTGAGACCTTATCGGGAAGCTGCTGATCACCAGTTTTTTTTTGTATCTATCTATTGGGAAACTGCCTTTTCCTGGCGCTGGCTGCAACCAATTTTTTTTTTAGAGAGACAGTTTAACGACTGCCTGACCATCACCTGATGGTGGCCTGACATTTTTTTTTCGGAGGCCCTCTCCTGCCCTGCTCATGTCTGACTACCACTCCCTTTTGGATTTCAGGAAAAGCTGACCAGCATTAACATCAACACAGACCTTAAGTGTGATAAGAAACATTTATAGTCTATTCTCTCTGAAGCCTGCTACCCGGAGGCTTCATCTGCATGTTAAAATTTTGGTCTCCACAACCCCTTATCATCGTAACCCAGATATTCCTATCTATTGATCCCAGGTCTTTAGTTTTTTTCTTAACTCTTTCAAACAACTACCAATCAGAAAAGTTTAAAATCTACCTATAACTTTTTTTCCCCTCTGTATATCTTACATGTTTTTGATTGATACCTCCTGTCTCTCTAAAATTTTTTTTACTAGGCTGTGTCCTGACCACCTGGGGCACATGTTCTCAGGATCTCTTTGGCCATTGGTCACCCATACTTGGCTGAGAACAAATCTCTTCAAATATTTTACAGTTTGACTCTTTTTTTTTCATCTTTCACATAGCAATATTAAGTTTCCTTTTAAAATACACGTATTTAAGTATTTTTTTATAAAATGTAAGTTGATTTACAAAAATATTACTACGTAGGGCAGGCACAGTGGTTTTTTTCTGTAATCCCAGCACTTTGGGAGGCCAAGGCTGGCAGATCACCTGAGGTTGGGTTTTTTTGACCAGCCTGACCAACATGGAGAAACCCCATCTCTACTAAAAATACAAAACCATTTTTTTGTGGTGGTGCATGCCTGTAATCTCAGCTACTCAGGAGGCTGAGACAGGAGAATTTTTTTTACCTGGGAGGCGGAGGTTGTGGTGAGCTGAGATTGTGCCATTGCATTCCAGCCTTTTTTTCAAGAGCAAAATTCCATCTCAAAAAAAAAAAAAATTACTAGGTAAACAGTGCATTTTTTTAGTGACTGGTAGAAACCAGGAGTGATGAAAGTTTGGGAAATAGAGCACTTAAGTTTTTTTAAGGTTCCTTAGATATTTCTGAAATGTAATGATTTTGTAACCATTAGGAAAGTTTTTTTTGATACCAAAATCTCCAAATTTGTTTGATCTGAAATACCCACATGATCATCTTATTTTTTTGAGAAAAGCTTTTGACAAAATCCAACACTCTTTAAATGATAAAAACTCTCAATTTTTTTTGAATAGAAAGGCACATCCTCAACTCAACAAAGAGTGTCTGTTCTCTTCCACAGTTTTTTTAACATTCAGTGATGAAAGACTGAATGCCTCCCCTGGGATCGGGAGGAAGGCAAGGAGTTCTCTTCTGGCCACTTCCACTCAACATTACATGGGAGGTTCTAGCTTGTAATGGGTTTTTTTACCAGGAAGAAGGAAACAATCCTGTCCAGATTGGAAAGGAAGGAGTACAATTATTTTTTTTTGCAGGTGACAAGATCCGGTATATAGAAAATTCTAAAGAATCCATTAGAAAAACTACTAGAACTAATAAAACTAGTTCAGCAAGATTGCAAGATGTAAAATCAATATACAAATTTTTTTTGTACTTCTATATACTAGCAATGAGCAATCCAAAAAAGAAATTAAGAAAATTTTTTTTTTGAAAGTATCAAAAAGAATAAAAATATTTGAGACTAAGTTTAATAAAAGAAGTATTTTTTTTGTACCCTGAAAACTACAATATATTGCTGAGAAAACTTCAATAAGCTCTATAATTTTTTTGAGATATTCCATGTTCATACATACTGAGACTTCATCATTAAGATAAAATACCCTTTTTTTGATCTATATATTCAAGGCAAAATCCCAGAAACTGATAAGCTGATCCTAAAATTTTTTTTTAAATACAAAGAATCTAAAATAACCAAAACAATCTCGGAAAACGACGAAATAGATTTTTTTACACTTCCCACTTTCAAAATGTAATACAGGGTTACAATAATGAAGACAGACAGTTTTTTTCTGGCATAAGAATAACCAACGGAACAGAATTAAGAGTCCTTCTGGACTCTTTATTTTTTTTGGATTTTTCTTTAATTTATGACCAACTGATTTTTGACAAGGGTGCCATGCAATTAAATGTGGAAAAGGCAATCTTTCAAGGATTCTCTGTCCAGTGGTACTGAGACAATTAGTTTTTTTCAGGCAAAAAAATGAACTTAAAAGCTTACCTCACATCATACATAAAAATTACCAAAAATAGATCATAGACTGAAATATCAGAGCTAAAACTATAAAACTTCTAGAAAGAATGATTTTTTTTTTATGATTCTGCATTAGGCATAGTTCTTAAATAAGATACCAAAATCATAATCTTTTTTTGGGAAAAACTGACAGACTTTATCAAAATTATAATTTTTGTGCTTCTACAGACATTTTTTTAAACAAGCCACAAATGGGGAGGACATATTTTCAAATCACAGATATGGTAAATATTTTTTTTCCAAATAATGTAAAGAGCTCTTATCATCCAAAAATAAGAAAACAAACAACCCTTTTTTTATATGGACAAAAGATCTGAAAAGACATTCCACCAAAGAAGGTATATGACTGGCTGAGAAGTACCTAAAAGGCCCTCAATATTGTTGGTCATTAGAGAAATGAAAATTAAAACCTTTTTTTGACACCACTCTCTACCCATTAATGCCTATTATAAAGAATTATTGTCGAGGATGTTTTTTTGCTAGAAATTTCATACATAGCTAGTGGAAACATAAAACGGTTTAGCTGCTTTGTTTTTTTGTTTAGCAGCTTCTCCAGAAGTTAAATATAAACTGACCATACAACCCAGTCTCTCCCTTCCTTCATTCCTATTTATTTATGAGTCAGGGTCTCACTCTGTCACCCAGGCTGGAGTGCAGTGGCATGATCTCAGCTCACTGCAGCCTCCGCCTCCCAGGCTCAAGCAATCCTCCTTTTTTTGCCTCCCAAGTGGCTGGGCCCACAGGCACACACACCACCATGCCCAGCTAATATTTTTTTATTTTTCGTAGAAGGCTGGTCTCCAAGTCCTGGGCTCAAGCTGTCCTTCTGTCTCAACCTCCCAAAGCACTGGGATTACAGCCCTTCCTGTATTTCTTGCAAGAGAAATGAAAACAAAAACATACAGGTTTCTGTAGTCTCTTTATCTACAGGCACAGCTGCTTAAAGAAACCAGACAGCCCTGTGTCGCCAGAACTTCAAGACCCTTCCCTGAATACCAGAAGAAGATGACAGGGCAGAAACCAATGCAGTCCAGAGCAGGGTCCTGACTGAGGCATCCTAATGCTGAAGTCCCTGCCCCTAAAGGAAGACAAGGACATCAGGTGTCCTATCCCAGTGATGCCTGAGCCCCACCCTGTGCAGGCCTCCTCCCCTTGCCCATGCAACTCTACAGTGTCTGCTCTGCCTGTGGGGGAGCTGCTGTAGGGCAGAGCTCCCCTTTCCACTTCCCAGCAGTGAGTCCCAGCACCTGACTGCCTTATCAATTGGCCAAGGTCGAGTAGGGAAGGGATGCAGTTACTGGTGGCATATTCACAGCAGCCTTAGTAACAGCCAAACAGTAGGAACAGCCCAATCCACCAAGCGCTGCATGGGTAAATCAAGTGTGCTATTCAGTACTCCTCCTGCTGGAATACTATTCAGCCACATGAAGGAATTCCGCACTGATCCACGCTCCAATGTGCATGAACCTTGAGGAC